CTAAGCCATGGTGTGGTCATGTGCTCTTTGAGCTGTGGCTGTTGCCATGCTTCCTGGCTTTGCCGCCCCCCACCTTGGGGAGGTGAATCTTCTCTTTTTCTAATTTACTTTTAAATAAACTATATTTTCTAATCTAAAAAAAAAAGTCGCAATTTCCTTTGCAATTACTTTTTCGACTCCTAGGTTTTTTAGAAGTGTGTTGCTTAATTTCAAAATATTCGGGTTTTCCCAGATATCTTTCTTTCATTTATTTCTAATTTAATTATGATAAGACAACATACTGTGCACAATTTTAATTTATTTAAGCTTATTGGAATTTGTTTTATGAACCAGCATAAAAGTAAATATTTGGTGCACTTAAAAGGTGCATTTTGTTATTTGTGGAGTGTTCTGTAAATATGAAATAGGTTGAGTTGGCTGACAATGTTGTTCCAGTTTTCTATATACTTACTGATTTTTGGATCTAATTTTTCTGTTAATTGCTGAGAGATGAATGCTAAAATCTCCCAATATAATTGTCAACTTTCCTAAATCTCCTTTCGGTTTTTACTTCCTATTTATTAAACCTCTGTTATTAGTTTTACATAAAGTTAGAATTATTATATCTTCTTGAGGCCATAACCCCTTTATTATCATAAAATATCCCTTATTTTTTACAATCAGCATATTTGAACAGATACTATTTTTTATAACAAAACTATAAGTCCATTTGATTTTCCATAACAAACATACAGACATGTAATCTAAAGCACTGACTTTAGATTAAAGGTGACACTTCATAAGAGACAACAAAGAACTTTTTCAGGGTTAAAAATCAGATCATCACAGAGGAATCTCTTGCAGACAAACTAGTCAGGACTCGATTTCATGATGATAGTATGTAAGATAAGAAAGGACATTCATCCTGACCTAGCTAATGTCAATTTTCGTAGTGTCTCTGAGGCAAATACTGCTTATGACAGGATATTATGGCATGCTCAATGCTTTGTTTTCTCAAAACCCTTGTGTCAAAATTTTCTCCATTCTTTCAATAGCTGGATACTTTTTTAACATGACAAAGGATATCCACCTCAGTCCCCCAAACCAGCCTCATGCTTAATGGAAAAATTCTGTAGCTATTCCATTAAAAGTAGAAAAGGGACATGACAGACCACTGTCATTACTATTATTAAATATTTTACTGGAAATACTAGCCAGTACAATTAGATATGAGAAAGCAGAGGCAAAACTTGGAAAGTAGGTAAAATGAACAATTTCAATGATATGATTGTAATCTTAGAAAATCTAAAATAATGAACTCCAAACAATATGGCGACTTAGTAAGGCATTGGAGTTCAAATACTAACAAGCAGAAAAAATAGTACTTTCATGTGTGTATACAACTACTATGTGTAGTAATTCAGATATGATAGCTCTTTTTTAAATTTTAAAGATGTGGGGCACAATTCAGGATTAGGTACATAAGTGGTGATGGCACAGGTAAAGTTTGGGCCTCCCTTTGGTCCCCACTTTGCTTGGTTTGAGATCAGGTGCAGATTTGATAGCTCTAGGCTACTGCTGAGGGACAGACTGAATTGGATCCTGCTGCTACTGAATGCATTTCTCAGAGTGGCCATTTCACCACTTAATAGCACTCCTCATAAACAGCATAATAACCAACGCCTCTTCTCTTCACCTTCCCCTCCTACCCTGGCTCCTTAGAAGTTAAGAAGTATCCAAACAGACCTTTTCAGGGTGGCAGCAACAGAAACAACAGAGTTGGGCTCTTCTAAAGGAGCGAGGGAGGGAGCAAGGATAAAGGACACACAACCACGCACTGGGTACCATGTTCACTACTAGGTCAGGAGAGGGCTTCATAGAAGTCCAAACCTCACCTTCACGCAATTCACTTATGTCACAAATCCACACATATATTCCACAACTCTAAAGAAAAAAGAGGGGGTAGAATATATATTAGGATGTTTTTTTTTTGAGTAGGAGTCTCACTCTGTCAGCCAGGCTGGAGTGCAGTGGCACGCTCACAGTCACCACAGCCTTGACCTGCTGGGCTCAGGTGATCCTTTTGCCTCAGTCTTCCAAGTAGCTGGAACTACAGGCATGCGCCCAACTAATTTTTTGATTTTATTGTAGAGATGAGGTCTCGCCAAGCTGCCCAGGCTGGTCCTGAACCTGTGGGCTCAGGCAATCCTCTCACCGCACTCTCCCCAAGTGCTGGGATTATAGGCGCGAGTCACTGCGCCTGGCCATATTAGGATTTTTTGGCCATAAGCAATAACCCAGGCTGGGAGTGGTGGCTCACACTTGTAATCCCAGCACTTTGGGAGGCCTAGGTGGGAGAACTACTTGAGGTTAAGAGTTCAAGACCAGCTTGGGCAACATAGCAAGACCTTGTCTCTACAAAAAATAAAACAATTAGCTAGGTGTGGCGGCATGCACATGCAGTCCCCCCTATTTGGGAGGCTGAGGTTGAAGGATCACCCGAGCCCAAGGGGTTGAGGCTGTGATGAGCTGTGATTGTGTCACTGTACTCCAGCCGAGGCAATAGAGTGAGACCAAGAAGAAGTAGAAGAAGGGAGAAGGAAGAAGGAAGAAGAAGGAGGAGAAGGGGAGAAGGAGGAGGAGGAGTAGGAGGAGGAGGAGGAGGAAAACAGAACCCCTTGACTCAGGCTGACTTGTCAATAACTACTAACATTCACTGAGCCTTTACAATACTTGCAAGATGACCAGCACTAGTTTGACTCATTTAATCTTCACAATATCTCTATCAGAAAACTGTAAGGAAACCTATTAGATATCCCTACAAGAAGTTCAGATAGAGGATGAGCTCCAGGTTTGGAATGATGTCATCAAGAACATCTTTTTACCACTCCTTTCAATTGTCCTCAGTACCAATTTTATTCCTTTGCAGTGGGCAATATGACCATTCCCAAGGGAATTCTGTATGGTGACTGGTTTAGATTTAATCAGAATTATGTTCTCATTTTCTTTTCTTTTCTTTTTTTTTTTTTTTGAGACAGGGCCTCCCTCTGTCACCCAGGCTGGTCTCAAACTTCTGGCCTCAAATGATCCTCCTACCTTGCCCTCCAAAGTGCTGGGATTATAGGCATGAGCCACTGTACCTGCCTGTTTGTTTGAACTTAAAATTTATTTATTTTTGAGACTTCTGAGTAGGTGGGACCTTAGGGATATAACACAACACCTAGCTAATTTTTTGTGTGTGTTTTGATTTTTTTGTAGAGATGAGGTCTCGCTATGTTGCCTAGGCTGTTCTTGAACTCCTGGGCTCAAGCAATCCTCCCACTTTGGCTTTCCAAAGTGCTGGGATTGCAGGTTATTGTGAACTATTGTGAAGGGCCTCATAAACTTTTTATTAGTTGACTTATTCTGTAAAATATCAAGCTTGGCATAAAGCACTGCAAACTTAATCTCTTTGAAAATTTGAGACGTCAATAGTTAACGACAGATCAATGAAGATTACTCATTGGATGCTTATTTTGTTCTTCAGCCTCTCTGATGTAAGGACTATTCAAATAGTTCTTATAGTTCAAGCACTTCAAAATTTGATCAATTCTGGTCGAGTGCAGTGGCTCACACCTGTAATCCCAGCACTTTGGGAGCCCAGGTGGGAGGATCTCTGAGGCCCAGAGTTCAAGACCAGCCAAGGCTAAATAGAGATATCGCGCGCACACACACACACACACACACACACACACACACACACACACACACACAATTAGTCAGGCTTGGTGGTGTGTGCCTTGTAGTCCCAGCTACTGGGGAGTCTGAGGAGGAAGGATTGCTTGATCATACCATGGCATTCCAGCCTGGATGACAGAGTGTGATTCCCGACTCAAAAAAAAGAAAAAAAAAATCTGATTAGTTTCTATTAACTTTTTGGAGAAGAACCACCTGTGAATTCAGAATTTAATTGTAGGCTGTTTTGATAATGTGCTCGTTTAACCAGTAGATCCCAATTTGATGAAATAGATATCTGGCAACCTAATTTTTATGTGAGAAGAAAATATTAGAACTTTTGGTAATATTTTTACTTCCCTTTTTAAAAGTTCTATGTCTTGTGAAAGTTCTATAGCATGCATAATATATTCGTACCATACATAATGCATGCAAACAACATTTTTTTCCCACCTGCTAGGGCTCTGTGATCAAGAGTCTGAAGACGAATGCTTCAGATTAAAATTAATTAGTCTTGGACTCATTGCTTCGTGGAGGAAAGGAACTTGGACTTCAAACTTGACATCAAGATGATGATAATAGTGGTGATAACAACCTAATGATCGAGATGAAGATACTCAGAGCTAACATTTACTGAGCAGTTACAAAGTGCCAGACACCATTCTCAGTGCTTGACATCCTCAAAACCACTCTATGAGGGAAAAGCTTTTAGGATCCATTTGACTTCTAAACTCCATGAGAACAGAGACTACTGGGTTAGCTTTTTTCTTACCCCTGTGATCTCTGGGGCAGAATAGGCATTTGATTTGGCGAATAAAACAAAATTTAGTGTTGCCAATTTCTCAGCCGAAAGGGGCGGAATGGATTTCAGGGCCAGAGTGGGACTCGCAGGACCCGAGACTTAGCGTCCTTAGAGGACGGCAGAAGCGCCGGGTCCCCGCGACGAGCAACGGGAGCCAGGGGCTGACATTTCCTCGGCGAGGGCAACTGGCTAACGGGATGCAGGGGAAAAAAAAAGAGCGGAGATCAGAGGCGGCGAACCCCTTCCCCGCGTGGGTTCAAGCGTCTGAGAAGCAGAAGCCACGCGATGCAGGCGATCTCCGCCATGAGCCAGCAGGCCGGTAGACCCCGGTTGGCATTCAGAAGCCTGGGTGCACCGCCATCCTCCGTGTATGTCGACACTCTAGCCCTGAGAGGAGGAGATGCCGGAAGTCTTGACTGCTCCTCCCTGGGCGCTTCCGCCCCTGTAGGCTTGTTCCGCTGACTCCGCACGCGCGGAAGGACTCCCCCCACCCGGAAGGGCTCCCCACGTTTTCCGCTGCGTGGTACGTCTGTCGTTGACAGGTTAGTTTTTCTCGGGAGTGAGAGGCTCCGTCACTCCCTACAAACCTGATGGCCGCGTTTTTGCGCGGGTTGGGCTGCTGGGGGGGTGGGGGAGTTCTTTCAGGGGTCACCTCCCAGCGGTTCGTGCCGTCGCCAGGTCTCTGTAGGTCGCGACCTTTCTCCGCCGCATCATTGGTGACCGGGAACCTGCCGCGGCTCTGCGCCCTGGGATGCCGCCAGGTGCCCCTGCTCGCTCGCAGTTAGAGGCTGCGTGAACCTCACCGTGTCCTGCAGTTGTTGCTGAGCGTCCCCAACAGCACATTTCGGAAGGTCCTCTTCGAGGAACTGGAGCTGGACACTTTTACCGGTGGTCCTAAATTCTAACACTCGGAGTACCCTCCCCAGGTTATTGTAGGACATAATGTTCTGGTTTGCTGGTTTACAGTGTTTTTTGTCCCCCCACCACACTCGAAGAATAGAAAACCCTTCCGACAGGGGCTGACTGCAGAAGTGAGTTTTAGTGTGGGGAACGGTGCGTGCCCATTTGTATGCACTGGTGTCTGTGAATCAGTGTGTGTGTTGCGGGGTGGTGCTGTGTATAGTTTTAGGAAATCCATAGAAAGTCTGATAATTTGATAGCCTGCTTCTCCACTCTTCCCCCTAATTCTTTCCCATTCCCCCTGATGTGTATGCTCTGCTTTCAAGGTGATTCACCTTTGGATCGAAGTAGCAAATCACTGCTTACACTTTGCACATTTCGAACGTAGATGTGATTGTGTTCTTCCTGTGCTCAAAATCCTACTGGCCTTCCGTCGCCTTTAAGGTGATAACATTTCTTAGCCTGGCTTCAAGGCCCTTGGAGGTGTTTCTCCTGAAATTTTTCAGTCTCTTCTTTTATGGAAAACACACCCACGGATACACTCTCATTGTGCTCCCGCTCTGCCAGTCTGCAGTATTTTTACCTCTTTGGACACGTCAGAATTTTATTTGCTTTACCCAAGTTTTTATTTTTATTTTTCCATTCAGCCAGAACCTGTTGAATTTTCCCAGGCGCTGTTTTAAGAACTGGGGATTTGGGCGAGGGGGCGGCGACGATCTTAAGTCCTTTAAAAAAGAATAGCAGCTTTACGGACATATAGTTCATATACCATATAATTTATTTACCATTTAAAATGTACAGCGGGCTGGGCACGGTGGTTCACACCTGTAATCCCAGCACTTTGGGAGGCCTAGGCGGGAGGATTGTTTGAGCCCAGGAGTTCGAGACCAGCCTGAGCAACATAGGGAGACCTTGACTTTACAAAAAAAAAAAAAAGCCAGGTGTGGCGGTGGATGCCTATAGTCCCAGCTTCTCAGGAGGCTGACACAGATCACCTGAGCCCAGGAGGGGAGGCTGCTGTTGATCGAGCCACTTCACTCCTTTTGTTTCCTTTCATTGTTGTTTTAGTGACAGAGAGTGAGAATCGAGACTCTGACAAAAAAAAAGTACAGAAATTTTTAGTACCCACACAAAGTTGTACAACCATCACCACAATTGTAGAATATTTTCATCACTCCCCCCCAAATATTTTCTTTATTACTTAATTAGCAGACTCTCCTGATTTCCCCATCCTCCATTCCAATCCCGAAGCAACTACTAATTTACAATCTGTACCTTTGCCTGTTCTAGATTATTCATATAAATAAAAGCATGATACAAATGAAATTCATGTGTGATCTTTTCAATTGGCTTCTTTCACTTAGCATTCATATTCATCCATGTTGTAGCACCTATCAGTACTTTATTTCATTTTATTACTGGATAGTCTTTTATTGTATATACCCTTTTATTTATCCATTGGTCAGTTGGTGGACATTTAGGTTGTTTTCACCTTTTGGCTTTTATGAACAGTGCTGGTGTGAACATCATATTTTCATTTCTCTTGGTTATATGCCTAGGAGTGCAATTGCTACGTCATGTGGTAACTGTTTAATGTTTTAAGAAACTACCAGACTGTTTCCCAAAGCATCATTCTGCATCATTTTACATTCCCATCAGCAGTGTATTAGGGTTCTGACTTCTTGTCAACACTTGTCATGATCTGTCTCTCTGGTTCTACCCATCCTAGTGGATATGAAGTGTGTGTCATTGTGTTTTTTTTCTTTTGTTTTTAATTGACACATAATAATTGTTCACGTTTATGGAATACAGAATGATATTTTGATACGTATATACAATGTGTAGTAATCAAATCTGATAATTAGCATATCAGTCACCCCAAACATTTATCATTTCTTTGTGTGTGTACATTCAAAATCCTCTTTTTTTTTGAGTCAGAATCTCACTTTGTTACATGGGCTGGAGTGAAATGACACTCATGACCTCTAGGACTCAGGTGACCTTTCTGCCTCAACCTCCTGAGTAGCTGGGACTGCAGGCATGTATCACCATGCTTGACTAATTTTTTGATTTTTTTGTAGAGATGAGGTTTTGCTATATTGCCCAGGCAGGTCTTGAACTGCTTGGCTCAAGCAATCCTCCCTCCTTGACCTCCCAAAGTGCTGCTCCCGGCCCAAAATTTCCTCTTGTAGGCTTTTGAAAATATCGTGGTTTTGATTTGCATTTCTGTCTTCTTTAAAGAAATGTTTATTCAGATGCTTTGCTTCCTTTTAAATTAGGTTGTCTTTTTATCATTGAGTTGCAAGAATTCTAGACACAAGTCGCTTATTCTAGACACAAGTCGCTTATGACTATCTTGTAGATTATGCTAGAGTTCCTTTAAATGAAAAGCACGTGAGGTTAATGTTCACTTACCCTGGAGAACTTCTTGTAGGTGTGTGGGAATAGTTCAGAGAGTGTTGTTTCCCAATAATTTTTACATGGAAGGCCAGGCCCAGGAAAAAATGCCGTGCAGAACCTAGGAGGAACATCGTAAGACTTGAAAAATGAAGCAGGAGGAAACTTTATATAATTTGTCCATTCCCTGTTGATTTTTGTCTTTATTGATTTTTAGGAGTTTTTTAATTTAGGGATATTAAGCTATTGAGTGTTAGATATTTTCAATTTATTTAGTTAACTTTGTTTTATATCTTTTACTATACTGTTGTTTTACATTTTTGTGTAGTCAGGACTGTCAGTCTTTTCCTTTAAAGGCTTCTGGGTGGTAGTTTAGGATATTCTTAAATTATAGAAGTTATAGAAACTGATACAGTAGTTCCCTGATTAGTGTGACATCTGAGTCCCTGGTATTATATTTAGTCTTACGGTGCCTCCTTATCTCTTTTCCTTGAAAAATAAACTATAATCTGCTTCAACTTTGTTAATTCATTCAATTTTCTATTTCCGGCTCTAAGAAGTTATCTTATTTTCTTGTTCGTGCTTAATATACTGTGTTAGATTTGTGAGAGCCGTATTGGACAGTTGGTCACCAGATAGTAGGTACTAATTTCATGCTAGCAGACATTTATTTGAAGATTTAGTGTGTTTAGAGCTTGAGTACAGCTATTCTGTCCTGTATTGATTGGGGCATGCTGGGAAAGTAGTTTGATAAAGTCCGATTAACATTGTTTTGTATTTGTTTTTCTTATTTGATTGGTTAAAAGACGGGAATAGTTCAGATATTTTTAGAGACTGAACATTTTGAGAATGTGAAGAAAGCTATATACCACAGCTCCTTAGTATAATTTGTATTTCTCTATTGCATATAATGTCCAAGACTTCATTTCTTCCCCCTGGTCTGATTCTAGTTAGGACTCCGTTTTTTAAAAAAATTGTGTTTAGAATATACATAACATAAAATTTATCATTGTAACCATTTTTAAGTGTACAATTCATTGTCATTAAATACTTTTACACTTTTGTGTAACTATCATTACCATCCCTCTCTGAAACAGTTTCATCTTTACAAACTGTGAAATTTTTTACCCATTAAATAATAAATCTCCATCTCCTCCCCCCCACTTCTAGCCCCTGACAAACCACCATTATACTTTTGTCTCTATGAATATGACTACTCTAGGGAACTCATGTAAGTGGAATCATATAATATTTGTCCTTGTGTGTCTGGTTTATTTTATTTACCATAATGTCTTCAAGGTTAATTCATGTTGTACGTAATTCAATTCATGAATAAAGGAGTGAATTACATGTCAGTAATTCATGTTGTAGATGTTTGGATTGTTGCCACATTTTGGCCGTTGTGAATGTTTGCTGCTATGAACACTGGTATACACATATCTGTTTGAGTTCCTACTTTCATTCTTTTAGGTATATATACCCAGAAGTGGACTTGCTAGATGATAGGGCAATTTTCTTATTTTTTTGAGGAAATTCTTGTATGCTTTAGTGTTTTTTTGTCATTTACATGAAATCAGATGTAAAATAATTGTGTAATTTAGTCATGCATTAGCACATTTACCTTTCGAAAAATATAAATTCAAAGGGCTATTTTCTAGTTGAAAGGATGTAGGCGTTTTTGTTGTAGGACTGGGAGGTCTTAACATTTAAAAATTGTTAGAATTTAGACTAAATAAAAGGTTTATCTTGGATAAGTTTCCCAAGTCCTAAACATCTCAATTATCCAAGATTTTTTTCTCCCATAATACTGCTTTCTGTGATTTAATCTTTTTTTTAACAATAAAAACAAATTTATTAAGAGGGATAGTAATGAAATTTATTGAGAGAAATAGTTGGCCTGGTGCATTGGCTCCTGCCTGTAATCTCAGCATTTTGGGAGGCCTTGGCAGGAGAATTGCTTGAGCCCAGGAGTTTGAGATCACCCTGGGCAACATAGCGAAACCTCATCTCAACAGAAAAATTAAAAAAAAATTTGCTGGGCATGGTGGCGTCTGTTGTCCCAGCTACTCAGGAGGCTGAGGCGGGAGGATCACCTGAGCCCAGGAGATCGAGACTTGCAGTGAGCCATGATCACGCCACTGTACTCTAGCCTTGGGAGACAGAGTGAGACCCCAATTTAAAAAAAAACAAAACATTGTTGGAAAAAAAAAGGTCAAATACCAAATCCCGGTAAGCAAGTAACTGG